CCGAAGGAGCTGAAGCAGAGGCCATGGAGGGTGCTGCTTACTGGCTTGCTCCCCATGGCTTGCTCAGCCTGCTTTCTTAGAGTCCAGGACCACCAGCTCAGGGATGGCACCACCGTCCATGGGCTGGGCCCTCCCCCATTGATCACTAATTGGAGAATGCCTTACAGCTGGATCTTGTGGAGGCGTTTCCTCAGCTGAGGCTCCTTCCTCTCTGATGACTCTAGCTTGTGTCAAGTCCACACAATACCAGCCAGTACAGCTTAGAACACCGTGTCATCAGCTATGCTGTTGTTGTGCTTCCCCTTTCATAGTCTGTGTCTGAAGAAGTTGCCCTCCAAGATGGAAGGCAAACTGCTGCACCACAGGGGCATGCCCTCCTTCGGGAACACATCCTAACCACCTAGTTATTCTCTGACTACCTCTCAGGGTTGCCTTATCAGAACTCTCATCCCCAAGGAGCACGTGCTGCTGAAAGACAGAACTCTTGGGGTCATGTCCACAGCAGGTCTATTTTCTGTAGATTATATTTCTAAAAAGCATCATGAATGAAACTTTAAATTCCAAGTGTGAGGTACGACTAGCCTATAAAATATAGAGGTAGCATAGAAAAGGGAGCTTTATATGCCCTTAGCCTGTCTTTGTCTTGAGAATTGAAGGTTTTTGGAGGGGTGCAGTTTTCTACAGTCCAGGCATCCTGACTTTCAGCAGGAGAGGTTCACTCCTCAGTAAATTGAGGTCTGTCCCAGAAACAACAGTGGAGGTCTTGAGGCTTTGGCTATACTGAGAGCCCATCTGGCTATTGCTTTAAAGCTTTCATCTTGGCCTTTGCTGCTTGTGTACCTGACAGACCGTCACTGAGGGCCCAGTAATGCCCAAGTCTTGTCAAGTGGATCTGCACTGAGTCTTTGACTCTGGTACCAGCATTGTGAAGTTATAAACTTTAGAAACTAGCATCTGGTGTGTTTGGAGTGCGATAGCAAAATATCATAGTCTGGGTAAGTTATTTTTTAATTATTTTGGTTTTTCGAGACAGGATTTCTCTGTGTAACCTTGGCTATACTAGAACTCACTCTATGGATCAGTTTGTTCTTTTAATCAGAATCTGCTTGGCTCTGCTTCCTGAGTGCTGGGATTAGAGGTGTGCCCCACCACCACCAGGCATAGTCTACATAAGTTATGAAGAGTAGAATTTTATTTTCCATAGTTCTGAAGGCTGGGAATCCATGATCAATGATCAATATGCTAGGAGTCTCAGTGTTTGGTGATGGAACGTCCTCAGAGAGGCGCCTCTTGTTGTCCTCACATGGCAGAAGATGCACAGGCTCCCTAAGTGCCTTATGTGTGGCAACTAATTCCATGAAATAAGTACCTCCTAAGAAGCCCCATCTAACATCCCATACATGGGCCTGGGAGACATGACATTTCAGACCACAGCAGTTTGCTCTCCCTTTAAGTCCTGGCAGTTAGCACTGAGACCTCTAAATAGGCACAGGTAGCTTTCCCCCACCTCCTGTACATGTAGCATTAAGCTGCAGCTTCAGGAGTTTTGTATCACTCTTCTTCAGATGCTCATAACTGCTCATCCACATCCTTTATCCTGCTCTTCTTTCCTCTGATTCAGGACCACACACTTTTGACACAGTAAACACAATGCCCTGTCCATTTCCCATCTGCCTGCGATGGTACCAGTCTGCATAGCCTGGTCCTTTGGTGGTGTTTTGATGAGACTATCTACCTCAAGCGGCTAAGCTTCGGTTCCACCACTTTGGATTTCAGAACAGCACCTGCTACCACCAGGAGCTTCTGCAGTGCTTTGGCACTCTAAATGTTTGCAAAAGGGAGCTTCCAGGTGTTGTGTGCCAAGACTTTTCCTGGGGAGATGGAACACAAATGTCTACTCACCCTTTATCATGACAGATTAAAGCACAGACACCACTCAAGTCCAATTTGGTGACCCAATGAGTTTTATTAAGGTTGCTTTCAGGAGAAGTGACTCAAAGACAGCTACATCACCAAGGCCCACCCCAGCATGAGTGACAGCTCACAAAATCTGGGAACCTGGAGCACACTGCCCAGCCTGCAGGCAGCTCGACAGGTTGGCAAGGAATACTTTCTGGGTGCCTCAGTTCCGGGAGCTTGGCTGGTTTCCGCTTCTTCAAGGTCTGGCTCAATCTTCTTTGCAGCTCAGCTTCCTTTATTTTGAGAGGGACTTCCTCAACTTTGATTTTTTTAATCTGGCAGGGAGGGACCTAGTGAGTCTGGCCAGTTTTAGGAACTTTCTGAAGCTATTTTGAGTTGTTGGCCTTCCTGCTTAAGAAGCTTCCCTGAAGAATGGATGTTTCCATGTCAGGGGAAATAGCAGGAAATAGCACAATAGCAGGGCCATCAAGAAGGCTCATCATGAAGAGCACTGGTTGTTCTTGTGAGGACCTGCGTTTGACTCCAGCACCCCAAGTCTGTTCATAGCCATCTGTAACTCCAGTTCTAGGAGATCCAGCTCCCTCTTCTGGCCTCCACGCGTGTGTGTGAGACACAAGTGGCTCCAGCCCACTCCAAATGTCAGGTGCTGCAAAGGTGCAGAAGCTCCCTGTGCCTCCGAAGCTCCCTGTGCCTCCTTACCTCTGACTCCTGACCCCCAGCCCGTTCCGGGAGCCAGAGTGCTGCTACTACTACATCATTTAAGAGTAAACTATTCCCTACACGTTAACTCCGAGGGGACACAGGGTCTTTAAAAAAAATTCTCAGATTGCTTTGGTTAGACTTAAAGATAAGGTTGTATTTCCACTCGTTTAGTGCTTTCTATTTTCTACTGGCTTTTCAGATAAGATGCAGTTTCAGTAAAAATATCATACATGATATAGTGCTTTGCTTTGTAAGAAGCTGTAGAATATTTTGCATTTGATCTTAATTTTTAAAAGAAAACATTTTTTTTTTCCTGTGGGAGAGGTGCTCATAGACATGCCCATATGCCTTAGTTTAAAAGCAATTAAGAGTACTAACCTGAGTGGGTGAGCCTAGGTAAGAGGGGCAGAGTGCTAGCCAAAGCACACCGATTTACAGGGCTCTCACAGTTTTTGTCACCTGTGGGGAGAGTTGGAAAGCTCTCACAGTGACCTGCAGAGGGTCTTTCCTAGCCCTGTTCCAGCTTCATGGAAGAGAGTGAACACTGTTTATACAGGCAGGAATCAGCTTGGCAATGCCTAGAACAGGCTTTAGAGACAGGTTGGGCTCCATGACATCCCCTAAGGTTAAGCTGATAGATTGCTAAGGGTACTAGGTTTTTGCTGAACTTTGCTGAACTGCCAGGGACCATGTAGATTCTTTCCTGGTGGGGGGGGGGGGGGGGGAACCAGGTCACTGTTTTCTACTGAGGAAAGTATTTCTTTTAAATTTTCTCTGATATTTTTATTTAAATTTAGATTTTTAAAAAATGTATTCACTCATCCCAGTCCCATCCTACCTCCCTCTTCCCCTAGTCCTCAGAAAGGGGGAGCCCTCCTCCCTTACCAACTGATCCCAGCCTATCAAAGCTCATCAGGACTGCCTGCATCCCTTCCTCTGTAGCCTGGCAAGGCCACTCTGCTAGGGGAAAGTGATCGAGGAGCAGGTAACAGAGTCCATGTCAGAGGGAGACTGAGCTGCCTATCAGCTACATCTGAGCAGGGGACCAGCGCTGCGGTCCTCTAAAGCTTTTCTGGGACCTCTTGCTATTTTTAAATTACATTTTATTTTGTTATCTGGCACCTGTGTCGGGGCGTGGGCGTGGAGGAGCCAGAGCCTGTATATTTGGAGGTCGGAGGCTATCTGTGCAGTGGGCTCTCTCCTTGACACTGCGTGGGTGCCAGGGCTCAAAGCCGGGTTTTAAGGCTTGGCAGCAAGGGCCTTTATCCGTTGAGCCACCTCTCCTCCCCATCCCCTGCTATTTTTAAGTGTGGAAACTCTTGAGGGCTGCTTGGTGCCAAGGCCAGTGGGTGACCTCAGTGTCACCCCTCAGAAATGGAAGGTGTAGATGACCAAAATATGCCATCTTAAAATACACTTCTTTCAGAGAAACTGCAGGCACAAGCGTAAGTCAGAAGAGCACTCTGGAAGAGAAATGCAGGTGGTTACCCGCACTGGCACCCAGGTGTTTTCTCTGAGGACCCTCTCCTGGATCTGCGTTCCCACCCTCTTTCAGCCTCCTACTGTCTCACGCAGCCCAGGGACTGTCACCTGTCCTTGGAAAGCAGTTTCCTGAGACCTTTCGACACTTGGGGACTCCCACAGCTCATAGAACGCCCCCTTCTCAGGTCACCCTCCAGGAGCCCGTGCGTCTCTGTGCAGCAGAGGAACTCAGCCATCGGCTTTGATGGAGCTTCGTGCCTCCGAACGCAGGCGACAACTCGAGCGCGCTGGGTCCATACAAAGTAGGTACCGTCGGCCACTCCAGACAGAGGCGGCCCAGACCCTCCCACCGCGTGGGGCCCTTCTTCCCCGCCGGGAGCAGTCAGACCGAACGACTCAGATGAAATGTCGCCTGTTTTCAACTTATTGCCATTTCCCCTTTCAAAGTTGTACAGGCCCAACCTCAGGTGTTCGGGTTTGGATTTTTAAGTCACCCCCTACTTGCACAGGGAGGCGCCCCTCGCAAGCTCCCCGTCCCGAAGTATTTCTACAACATTCGTTTGCCCGTGGGCTCCGGTGGGCGCTTATTTCCACCAGGTGGGGCGAGACGGCTTCCGCAGGCCAAGAAGCCGCAGAGACAAGAGAGCCTGGGCTGTGGACAGCCGCAGCCCGGGTTCCGGAAGCCAACCCTGCTCGCTCACGCCCGCCCCGCCGGGCCCCGCCTCCTCCCCGCGCCGCGGCCTCCCTGGCTGCCCCGGCTCGCCCGCTCCGCCCGAAGCACCGCCTTCCCGCGCTGACGGACGGGTCTCTGCACCCATAGGACGCGGCTGTCATCCGACCCCGCCCGCGTGGCTCCGCGCCGATCGGAAGTGGTCCGGCCCGCGCACCACCTCCCGGAGCTGTTCGTGCACGCTCGGGCTCCCGGGCAGACCGCGCGTGCCAAAGGAGGGCGGTGGCGCCCCGCCATGCAGCTCCCGGAGAACGCCACTACGCGCGGCCCCCCGGCCCTAGTGGTAGGTATGGCGGGGTGACACACGGCGCCTCCTTTCGCCCCCTCTGTTGCTTTTTCTCCCACCCCGACCCGGGATTCATCCACTCCGGGCTCGCAGCCTCTGAACATTGCCCCAGCTTGGAGGGCTCCCACCATTCCCTGGTGGGCCTATGGCACGGGTGCCCGAGCTCCTGCCGTACACAAACCTGCACACCTACCTGCCCAGCACTCTCGCGTCCCACCCCTGCCAACCCCCAGGTCCTGCCACACCTGTCCCACCTACCCAGCTGGTGGGTTAGATGTCAGGGTCGGTGTGATTCACCGGCTCAGCGCCAAGTGGATTGTGTGTTTCATGCCAGTCTTACTGAGATTGGGAACCGGTAAATCAAGGCCTATCGTCAGAAAAAATGTACATTGTATCGTTTTTATGTTGTTAGGTCCGTATCTCTGGCTGGCCTGCAACACTAACCGTGAAACTGCGTGCCGTTTACCGATAACGAGTATGCGTCACCGCACCTTTCTTCATTTTAAATCTTGTAGGTCTTGAGAAAATTAAACATGTTCTCTTTTCCTTTACAAAGTAAGTCCAGAGGACTGGGGTGTAACTGACATGCATGTGCAAGGCCCTGGGTTCAGCCCCCAGAAGCTCAAATAAATGACGAATAAGAAGTCTAAGAACAAGCACAAACAGGATAAAATGCGACTTTTGGATCATCAGCTCTTGAGAGAGCATTTCCTTAAAGAACTTGGTACATGATGCCTTCAACACTCATTTATAAGCTTTTTATAGCCCATGTTCAGATTCAGTAATTTAAAGCTGTATATTATACGTTATCTTTAATAATGTAGATATTATATACATTACTTGTAGACCTTGTCTGTTCTATGTAGCTATGTAACATGTACATACCTGTGTGTCTATGTTCACACCTGCCTAAGCTGCTGGTTTTCCTGCTCAGAAACAGCTCCACTTTTCGCACATTGACTCGGGTGATGCCAACTGTTAACTTCTGTGGCTGCTCTTACTGTGAGAGAGAGCTGAGACAGTGCCCATGACAGCTGTTCTTCTGCTACTAAGTTTCAGTGGTTTTATTCCACACCACTTTAGGAATTCTTGACCTTGTGCTGGTGCCTGAATTCACATATGGGCAAAGATTAAAGGCCTGTACGTGTCCTCTTGGTCCAGCGGCTTTGGGATGAGCCGTGATGACCCCTGTGAGGTCACTCTGTTGGAGTCTGGTTCTCACGAGCAGGGGATAGGTGTTTAACTAGAATGGTGATGCTTTTTGCCTCATGGTTAAAATGATGAATTTGCCATTGAATTAGAGGTCATTTTGATGCTTTTTAGTCCCCCCTTCCAAAAGCATCTAGAGGGGAATGGGTAGATGAGTGGGTAAAGGTACTTTCCGCCAAGGGCCATGTGTACACATAACAGCAGATGAGTGAATGGAGCACTTCTTTAAAAGCACCAAGAACTTAAGGGGGACCTAAGACCTCTTAAATATTATGGACCAAGTGACTGTCAAGAGCTTAGGAGGAACAGGCATCTTTGGTTTGTTGGGCTAGGCCACCTGGAGGCCAGAGCCTCGTTTTCTGGGGTAACATTTCACAGGTGGTGAAGGGCGTGCAGCTCCCCAGGGCTGTTTGTTAACTGGTTTCTCCGACTTCTAGTCCATTGTCCTCCCGGTGCACAATGCCGAACAGTGGCTGGAGGAGTGCTTGACGTCTGTTTTACAGCAAGACTTTGACGGCACCACGGAGCTCTCGGTTTTTAATGATGCCAGCAAGGTATTTATGGGGCAGCTGCTGGGTGATTGAATGTTTTACAAACCACATTTGAGGGAACTTTCCTGAGCTGGCGTGTCACACGTACAGGACAAGTCAAGAACCATCATTGAAAACTGGAAGGTGAAACTGGAGGATTCCGGCATCTCTGTCGTCATCGGAGGCCATGACTCTCCTTCTCCCAGAGGAGGTAACAGAGCAGATTGTAATTATGAGTTCTTAGAAACCTACCAACTTGGTTTTGTTTGTTTGTTTGTTTTCTGAGGAAGGGTTTCTCTGTGTAACAGCTCTGGCTGTCCTGGAACTCAATCTGTAGGCCAGGCTGGCCTTGAACTAACAAAGATCTGCTTGTCTCTGCCTCCCTGGTGCTGGGATTAAAGGCATATGCCACTGCTGCCTGGCTCAGCCTGCAAACTTAAATGATTCATATTGTTAGAGTCTAGAGAAAAGTGTCCTGGTGATATTCAGGTCTGGTGGTTAGGTCTGCTGCCCACTGAGAACCAAATGGGCCTCAGTTTCTCTCTTTCTCTCTCTCTCCTGAACTGGAACTCACAGAGCTCTTTCTGCCTCTGCCTACCGCTGCCTCCCACCAGCCAGTTTCTCATTCTTTGGAAAAGGTTTATTGTTGTCTCAGTGTTTGTGTCCACTCCCAACCCATGTGTAGGTTTTAGGAGGTGTCTTGAGAGGCGATGGGTCATCGGGTAGAGACTCATGAATGGAAATAGGACTAGTGCTTTAGAGAAGAGGCCCCACATAGCCCTTTACACTTTTCATGTGCGAGGACAAAGGGAAAATAACCACTGTGAACCAAGAAGCAGCCTTCACCACATACCAAATCTGCTAGTGCATGGATCTTGAATGTCTGGGTTTCTCTTAAGGGCATGGGTTACTCTGGTCCAAGGCAATCGCTGATGTGGTTCATGTCTACAGATTTGTCAGTTCTGGACATTTAATATCAATGCAACCATAATATGTACTCTTATAACTAACTTAATTCCTTAAGCACAGTTTTATTAATATCAATCTATTGTAACATATTAATATTTCATTCCTTATTAGAGAATAATTCAGTTGTGCAGATGAGCTATATTTTGTTTATCCATTGATGGGCATTTAGATTTTTCCATTTTTTGAAAATTCTCATCAGTGGTGCCAATACAAGTATTTGTGTAACAAAAATACAACTATTTTTGTTTGAACACTGGTTTTCCAACTGTTTTGAATCTATAAACATTGTTTTTCAAATCTATTGAGCATATGCCTTCTATTTTATATTTACCAAGTTGAAGAACTGCAAAACTGGTCATGTTGGTGGTAGTACCGTTTTATGCTTTCCAGTGTGTTTTACTCACATCCTGACTGTCACCTGTTATTTTCTTCTATAATTACTGTTGTAGCCATTCTAGTGCGTGTGCGGCGTTTCATTGTGGGTCTGTCTGCGTTTTCCAAATGGTTAATGATGTTGAACCTTCCATGTGCGCTCTGGCTATGTGTATCTTTGGAGAAATTCAACTCTTTGTCCATTGTTTACTTGGGTAGTTTGTCTTTTCATTGCTGAGCTGTAGGAGCAATGTGTATGTGTGTGTGTTTACACATATTTATGGCGTACCAAAGCATTATTAGATAGATGTTTACATACGTTTTCTTACGTTTTTGGAGTTACCTTTTAGTCTCTTGTGGTAGCTACCTTTAGTACACAAACGTTTACAGCTGATGTCCAGTTTAGTTTTTCTTCATGGCCTGTCTTTTGGTGTCAATATCTAAAACAGCCATTACTAGGTCAAAGTTGTAAAGAAATTTCTCCTTTGTTCACTTTAGAGCTTTTTATTCTTTTAGCGCTTATATTTAGTCTTCAATCTATTTGGAGTTAGTTTTCATACATGACAGCTCCGTTGATATAAATGTCTGTCCCCTGACTTACATCTTTTTTGAAAAGTTTGTAGGTGTTATCTCATTTCAATAGCATTCAGCGTTTCTTTGCTTTTAAATGTTTATGGGTGTTCTGCCTTCGTGTGTCTGTGCACTGTGTGAGTGTGCCTGGAGGTGCCCTGGAGGCCAAAGACGGGGTCACATTCCCGGAGACTGAGCTTCCTGGGTGCTGGGGATTGAACTTTGGTTCTCTAGAAGAGCAGTTGGTGCTCTTAAGCACTGGGCCATATCCAGTCTTCAACAGCGTGTGCGCCCCACCCCCACCCCTTTTTCTCTGTGTAGCTCTGGCTGTCCTGGAACTCACCCTATAGGTCAGGCTGGCCTCAGACGCAGAGATCCCTCTGCCCAAGTGCTGGGATCACAGCTGTGCACCACCACGCCCAGCTGTCACGTTAACTCTTGTCAAACATCAGTTAACCACAGGTGCATGAGTTCTCCATTGTTCTGTGTGGCATCCTTATCCCTGTAGCCTGTTTTTAGCTATTGTAGCTTTTTGTGTGTTTTCTGTTTATCTTTGTTGCACATACAAGCAAACACTCAGCTATTGATATATATTTCAACCAGATAAATTGTTTTCTTAATTTCCTTCTTGGACTGCTCATTTTTATTAGTGTTGATACTGTAGATCTAACAGCTTTGATTAATTTGTTTACAAGCACTAATAGCTTTTCTTTTCTTTTTAAAGATAGTGTCATGTAATAATTGAGATAGCAGTAGTCTTTCTTCTGACTGTGATGTGTGTGTGTGCACGTGCATGTGTTCATGTGCTCATGTGTGTGTGTTCCTTGTAGCCCAGGCTATAGCGGCCTTAACCTCATGATCTTTCTGCTAAGTATCCTGGGCATTGTGCTTCTAGGCTTGTGCCACCATGCCTAGCTCCTGATTTTGACTTTTTCCTTTTCTTGTTTAATTGATTTGGTTAAAAGTTCTACTAAGTCTTGAAGTGGTAAACATGGGCATCCTTATCTGTACCCTGACACTAGGGTAAAGCTTACAGCCTTCCACTGTTGAGTGTGAGACTAGCTATGGGGTTTGCAACTGTTTTTTATTCAACTAAGGAAGTCCTCTTATATTGCTGGTTTATTGAATATCTTATTTTTAATGAAAGGAGTCGGTGGGGTGGATTTTGTGAAGTGATTTTATTTTTTGGCATCAATTGGAAAAGCTGATTTTTCCCTTCATCATATTAGATTATGTGTTGCACTGATGTCCAGTGTTGAACCATTTGTGCATTATTTGGGTAAGTCCCACTCAGTCATGCTGTGCAGTCTTTCTAGCGGACTGCGGAATTCAGTTTGCTGGAATCTTGTTAAGGGTGTGTGTGTGTGTGCGTGTGTCGTGCACATGTTTATGTCAGACGTCTGTCATTCTCAACCTTATTGTTTGAGACAAGGTCTCTCACTAACCCTGGTGTGTTGGTATAATGTTCTTTTGAGATGTGTACCCTTGTTCATTCAAATGCTGATTTCTCTCCCCGCTCTCTGGTTCAATACGGACATTGCATTGTGATACTTATTCTTAGCGTCACCTGTCTCAACTTTGTGTAAACATCCAAAATAAAGCAACCAGCCACAATGTTGAGCAAGGGAAAGGAGGCGGGAGAGGGGAGGAGCCAGAGGGCAGGAAAAGAGTGGGAGGCAAAAGGGTGGGGGTGGGGGGGCAGAGCTAGGAGAGCAGGGCTGGAGAAGAGATCGTGGAGAATGAACCAGACCAGAAGATTTCACAAAAAGCAAGTATAATGTGGGAAAACTGAATGGTAGAAACCACGTGGGCTTGGAGGTTTAGGATGGAGTAATGGTTGCCCAGCATTGTGTACTAGGTTAATTAAATAAACCCAGTCTCTGTGTGGTGATTTGGTTATACAGCTGTTTAGGATTAACAGCAAGCTTTACCAGAAGATATATCAATAGTAAATATTAGTGACCTAATATAACACTGGTGTTCACTGATTGGCCAAGACTAGCTGGCTGACACTCTTCCTGTCTGTGATTACCAGAGCTAAGATCATAGGCATTTAACACTGTGCTTGGCTTTTTACGTTTCTCAAAAAAAAATATATATATATATATATATATATATATATATATATATATATATATATATATATATATAGGCTGAGTTGGTTGCTTTTGGGGGTAATGGCCAGAGACCAAGCCCTTTATCTTCACGGGACTCCTCTGAACTCTTCCTTGGCAGCCCTAGGGACAGCGGCCACAAGTGCAGATGGACCAGCCAAGAATTGACCCTTTCAGAGAGTGGGACGGTATACTCAGTCTCTAAAGACAAAGCCAGGACCTACTTGTACCCACTGATGACAGGACTTGGCCCTGAGCAAATGCCTTCCCAAAGAAGCAAGAATGCAGTTTCTTCTGGGGTATCGCCATTGTTAAACACCTGCTGTCTGATCAGCCCAAAGCGAAGATACCCAGCAATATGGCTTTGTCCCTGTCTTTATCAGCTGCATGCCACTTAAAAGTTTAGTAGTAGCCTCAGCAATGTGAGTGTTAATGCCTGAAGCCTGGAGGAAGAAGGCCTTCTTGGCCTGTGCTGTAAGCTACCACAGTAGCTCTGTGAGGGGCAGTGGTGCCAGCACAGGGAGTAGCTCGCATCTCGTTGGCCAGCAGGACAGCCTCGGTCTCACTGAGGTCTTTTTCGTTGGTCAGCACAAAGCCCAAATTCCCCCAACCTGACTGTTTCTCAAGAGCTGAGTTGTTTGCCAGGTGCCCTCAGGATGGCTTTGGGCACACGCTGTTCTTGGCTATCAGCCTCACCACCTTCCCTCAGAGAAACATGCATGTATGTTGGAACCCACATTTCCTGCCACACAGTGAAGCATTTGGATGATTATCCAGAAGTTAGGTGATCTTAGGAAGTAGGTGGACTTCCAGGATGCCCAGCCTTTTCTGGGTATTATGGAAGTGCATCAGAGATTGCTAAGCAAGAGTTAAATTAGGTCACTCTAACAACTACACCTAGCAGATACTGCACATTGGGTCTTTTACATGGGTTCTGGGGATCAAACCTACTTGCCAAGTGACCCCTCCTCCTCACTCGGCTCCTTACACAATCACGCTCTAAGTCAGTTAGTGGAAGTTGAAATGCTATGTATTCACACTACCTTTTACAATTCTGTGTTCAACCTTCACTGGTGTTCTGGGTTTTGACTGGATTGAGGTCTTGTCAATCTTTTCAGCCTAAAGAACTTTAGTGGTTTTCTCAGGCTGATTTGCCATCAACAGATTTTCTCAGCGTTATCTGGGA